CGCTCCCTATTTACTACTTAGTATGCTATCTTAATCTTAAACTTATATATTACATTTTATGGACCAGACCATTAATCGATTTGTTGTAAAAAAAATAATAATAATAATTAAATAATTAAAATTATTGTTTGCTGCTGCCCTAGCCAACAAAGTTTCTCCTTAATTCTGAGTTTGCCACTGCTGCTCTGGAGAACATAAAAAATAAACACTTTACTGCACAGCTGTTCTATGTCAGGTCCAATTTATTGCACTTGCTTGATCTGTATATGTTATGTCTCTCTTATTTCTTTGAATTAAAAAGAAGTGCTTCTCTTAAAGGGAATTTGATTGACTCACTGAGAGTGCAGCCACTAATATTAGAAACCGGACAACCACTTCAGCAGGTGCATCAAGGGTTTATTTAAATTTTCTCATCTGCGGTATTGTCCTGTGGAACAAAACAGAATATAAAAATTGTATTTTGTGGTTTCTGCTTTGGCCAAGAGACACAAGGGCTTACTGTGACCCAACTTTTGACCCACAGCGCTTGTTTGTTATGAACATCTCTCCTTCTTTTACCTCTGAGAATATTGCTCTGCTATGAGTTGGGCAAATTCCCCCACAATCTTAATCTTGCAAAACCAAGGAAAGTTAAACAAGTCTGTTTTTGTTGGTCCCTGAAAAGCTGACATTAAAGGGAATAGAAGATTTCGCACATGGCATATTTTTTTCAGGGAGCTGTGGATGTAACCCTCACACTGTTTCTGGATTTAAACACTCTTTTGGTCATGCAAGGCTACAGTAGATTGTAATGTCTGGATACAATGTTACATTAAAAGACATGGCAAATCTGATTACCCAATCTAATATCACCCTAGAGGCTTAATTATATTTACTTAAAAGATTATTTAGTGTGTTTATGTGGTGTTTCATCTGCTCTGTGAAAGGTTTCCATTGATTTGGTTTCACTACTTTGCAGAAGCAGCAAAGAGTAAGTGCCTGGTGAAGACATCTAAAGCAAATTGCAATGTGACATAATTTCAGTTGCTCACTCATTGTGTTGTGGTTGTGCTATACACGTGTATACAGGCTCTTTTAAGTGCCTATTGTCTGTGTGATTGACTTAAACTCACTTGGGTGACTTTGCGCTTGCATAAATATCCAGAGGTTCCTAATCCATGTGGGACCTGGATATTTGTGCAAGCACAAAGTCATCTAAAGCAGTGAGCTATCCCAGTGTATATCTGACTCAGAGCAGTTGCTGCTGGAGGGTTAGGGTTAGGGTTTGATTTGTCTAATGTTCGTAGAAATCTTCATGCCCAATGGTGCATACGCTTGCAAAGAAATTTCATTTTCCACATGATCAGTTCTTCCTCGAGCTAGGATGAGAAGCCATGGAGGATAATTGATATAGAATTTAGGAATTGTGTTAGTCGCCTCTGCTGTTCAAAAAACAAACGACACATTGTTTTAAGCTTGAAATTATGTGCAGTCAACTAACCCTAACCTTGAGGTTTTAAGGGCTGTTAAAAAAAGCTTTATGATATTGACAAGAATTTGACATGTTATTTCCCTAACAGTGGCAACAAGAAATCTCAATATCTGTTTTTTTTTTTTTTTTTACAAAACTAGATTTAAACCCTGATGCTCACTTTACAGTACACAATTATTTTGTCTGTACGTAAAAGTTACTGAGGTTCAATACCCAGCCGAGCTTCAGAATATTTCCTTCTGTACAATTCATTGTGCAACAGATACCAAAAGTTAGCTTATAACTGAATCTTATAGTGTGAAGGAAGTTTGTTATTTTGTCTGTGGCACATTCATTTCCTTCTTCTTTTACCCCATCTCAGTCATGGTTGCATTCATTACCAAAAAAAAGTTACACTTGGCAGAAAGGTGTTTCACTTGCCTCTAAACATCAGCAACATTGTTGTCAGGCCTTGTGTGTTCAAACCAGACAGAGCAGAATTGGATTTGAATAGAAATGTAGCTGAGCTGTGGGGGAGAACTTGTGAAGGTATAAACTTGGCACGACACGTGTAAGGGAATCTGATAAAAAGCACAGTTGTGCAACTCAGCTTTCTTCCTTGTTGTCCTAACTAAATTCCCCTCCTTCAGTTAGCGCATATTATCAAGATCAGTCTTGTTATTTGTTGACATAGTTAAGTGTTGCACTGTAAGGGAGTCATAAAATAACGCTTTTCCTTTCCAAGAAAAATAACAGAGAGCATACAGTCATCAAATGCATTTCATCCCCATCCTCCCCCTTTAAAATTTACCCTCAGTAGTGAGATCAGATATCCTGCTGTGAACTGGATGACTTGATTACAATGAAAGCATCAGTAGTTCAAGTCAACACATCCTCTAAAGAGGCAACAGTTTATTTGGGTAAATTATGTTCACTCACGAGTTTCATACAAATGAAAGAAAATTTCACAGTGAAAAGTGATGTTCAGTAAGTAGACATAGTGAAGGAATTAACTTTTAAATCACACACTTGGACTCTCAGAACAGACAGAGTGATGTGATTAAGCCATTGCTCCATCCCAAACAAAACATGTCTGGAGAATTTCTGCTATGTCCCTGAAAATAGCACCTCTGGATTGTTTTCCTCCCTGCATCCATTGTTTCCTTAGCTACATTTTTATTTGTGTTTTCACCATTAAAACCTCTAATCCTCTCCAGCTTACGGGTACTTTGATAATATTTGATTTAAAGATTGAAACATTTGGTACCCTCTAATCTTTGAAACCCATTGTTTAACACAACGGGTGTTCTCTCTAATTTCCAACAAAGCAAGGGTGAGGTCTGGTCTTATAGACTTTTGAAATGTTTGGTTATTTCCTGTTTTTCTCAGCAACATATGTTTAGTCACACACACAGTTGTTTTCATGTCGTATTAAATGAGCCATTTCTCTGTTGTTAACAGTGCCTCACTTAAAATGTATCATTAGCTATAGCTACGTGTGGCAGCTTGCATGTTATTGTGAGCACCATTGCAATTAAGTGGTTTAATTGAAATCAGCCAAGGTCTCTGCCTCTGTCCATCCAGATGTTGGTTATATTAATTTCTTCAGACCTGCATAACTTTACTCAGACAGCAGTGGAGGCCATATTTTTGTGTGACATAATTTTCATACATTGCCCATCGGACTTGCTCGTTATATTGCTTCTGAAATTAATATCTTTATTTTGCATTTATCTTTTAATAAAGCATTCCTTGATGTCTCAGACTCAGTTTTTATTTATCTATCTACCCTTCAAGCATTTAGTGTCTTGCAAGTACAGATGCACGAAAAAAAATATCTGTAATCCTAAGAGGATCGGACATCAGCTACATCCACATTAAATACAGTTTCTTGGTCAATGAAAAAGACAGCGATGGTTTTGAATCAGTACTCAGTACTCAGAGTTTATGTATCAGGTTCGAGAAAATAATGGTTATTGTGCCCCTATTTGCAAATGGCTGTCAAGTTGAATTGTGGGACACATTCCTCTAAACCCTTATAATCATGTAAATAGTGGTTGTTGTCTTGAGCCATGTATGGTAATGACAGACACTTCATTATTTTGTATAAGAAGCTTTAACTGGTTTGTCAGTCTAAAAGATCTTAAGTGACTGTGTTATGTTTTTGGAAAACAAAATAATCACCTTCTTCCAGAGAAAATACTGAAGTGTGAAATAGTCATGCACACTTTGCCAAGAACCACCCAAGACTTGTCAAACTTCTTACGCTTCTGCACAACCAGTTTGACTCTTTTCCATAAAGTGCATTTTGTCAGTGCCAGCAGCTGTAAGTGCACCTCAGCAGAAAGCAGTGCAGCAGACCAAATCTTCTCAGATACTAATTAGATTTACACATGATGTAAGCTCTTGTTGAAGCTAAATGCTTGACGCATATCCAGTGTTTTTTGTCCAGGCTTTGTAATTTGAGCCTCTTTGTTGTACTTTGATGGTTTGATGGTCTTAAAGTACATTTGACAAGTCATATTATCATGCATAATCAAGGTAATGGATGTGATGATAACTGCAATCTAGCTTGTAGTAATGTTGGATTCATTGCAGGCTAAACACAAGCCTAAAAAAAAATTTTTCTGTGCATTAAATTTGATGTTAAAATTGACATGTGAATGTGAGGTGGCCTGTGTCAATTTTTTTACAGTGTGGAGTGGCAGAGAAAACAGTCAGTAAACACATGAAGCAGTAAAAATGTTGGCAACGTGTATTGATATAAACAACGTCACAAACAACAAATATTGTAAACATTTCAATAAGCTGGGATACATAGTGGCTGCGAACAGAGTGGGAATGCTACATACTGAAGGTCTGTCTTCCAGTGCACAATGCAAAGTAGCTGTTAAAGCAAAGAACTGTGTGCAAAACTAAACCTCTGAATGAAGCATTCATTTGAAACCCTTTGTTAACCCTTAGCCTGGATCAACTCTAGAACATCTGGACAATAGC